TCTGTGTTCTTAGGTTGATTTGAAGCCTTTCAGTTAGGAACCTTCCTGAGGTCTTGTATGTACAGGAGCTGAGGTTTGCTGTCTGTTTTCTTACTATTACTGCATACAGTCAGCATGACTAGGTCACTCTGGCAGCAACAGAGATGGGGTGGGGGGTTGTGTGGAAAGGACCAGAAAAGACAGATGATTATCTTCTGGCTGTGTTCAAAGATAAGAGTGTAAGATACAAGGCCAAACAGTTGGTGTTGATGGTGTGTCTGTAGTAAGAGGAAATAAGGTGAACTTTTGGTTGATATTTATGTTGGATTTTGTCCCGGTAGCAGCTTAGAACAAAAATCAGTCCCCGTGTCCTAGTAAGGATCACTTGCCCATCTCAAGGATGTACAGTAATTTCAGAGAATTTCCTTCTGCTGCTGCGATTCAAAAATAACTTTACACTACTATTAGTTCTCAGGATTTTCTGGTAAATCATATTGTTCATTTTGTGTCCTTAGGACTGAGTATATTACCTGGCTTATAGTAGGTGTGCAGAATATGTTGGTAAAAATGAATGAAATTGTTTTCCATTTTCAGGGCCATTTTCAGCTTTCATACAGGGTGTCATAAAAGCAGGAGTCAATGATATGTATGTCTTTCCTTTTTAGCTCAGACCATGATCGACTTCATACTTTGGTAACTGAAAACTGTTTTCCGGTAGGTTCTCATCCTCCTCAGAACTGTGGGATGCCTGACTAGACAGATTCTAGATAGCACCTCTGGTTTTGAAAGTATAGGAAGTTTAAGGCAAAAAACTGAAGTTCCATTAGTTTTGGTTGAATGACAGTGATTTGAAATGGACTCTGGCAATGGCCATTCAAATGAGAAAAGAGAGGGTCCCTCAACAAGCAGTACTGAGACTACAGATCCTAAAATCAGGGGATGGGCCACATGAGGGCCGCCCTACACATGCCTGCAGTATAATAAAGGATTTAACAAGTGTTCATGAGGCTTACATTGTGTGGTAACAGGGGTACTAGATACTGTTGGAGATCCCCAAGAATAAAGACTTTGTGGTTCCGTTAGGGGTTCAAGAACAAGAACTTTAGTTTCTGTCAGTTTTGCCTCATCTCCCCAGGGGCAAGCATAGCTAACCTAGTCTTAGCAGTTTAGCCCTTGTAGCCCTGTAAGATCTCACCCATCACTGCCAAAAGGTGAGAGGAAAAAAAAGCGCAGTCAACAGAAATGCACGCAGTCATGATTATGCAGGTGTACTGGAGGGATAATGGTATTAGCTGGCAGTTTGAAGTGTAGCCTTCGTTGATTTGGAGAAGGGTCCTCAAGGAGGTAGGTGGGCTTCAAGTTGTGATTTAAAAATGAAAAGAGTTGTAAAGTGAGCTTGAGCAGTAGCTTAAGCAAATCTTGGAAAGGTAAGAGGAAAGAAAGGACAAAAAGCATTTGGTGGGAAATGTTGCATGTTGCCTACAGTATCACAAGAAATGAGATCAGATGGGGAAAGAAGTACCAACTGCCCTACATGGATGGGAAAATACAGTTGAACTTATTCTCTTCTGCCCTCAGGACATGGTCTGGGACATCAAATATAAGACTGTCCGCTGGAGCTTCGTAGAGTCTTTAGAGCCACCCCAGGTGGTACAGGTTCGCTGTTCAAATCTGCTGAACCAGGGCAACGCGTATGGCCAGATCACTGTCCGCATGCACACCCGGCAGGTAGAGGCACCAGTCTGCTTTCCTCCCAGCTTTTATTCACTCCCAGGTTGGGCACCTAACGCTGAGTCCTGGGTACAGCAGCCCAGGACTGTGAGTTCTAAGGGAAGGTTCTCCATGGTCTTTCTTGCCCTATCACTGCACCCTTCCCACTGCTGGATGTTAGCTCTGCTACTACGGGTGTGAGAATATTCTTTCTCACCCTTCCTGGACTACATCCCCACTCCACCCCGCCCCACCCTCACCCCAGTCAGAACCCTCTAAATGTAAATTGTTAGTGGTTCATCAGTCTACATTCAGAATTCTGGATACTTTGTTTCTCCCCATTAAGGTTTTTTGTTCTAGTTTCAAAAATGTTTCAAAAATGGTTGTGTGGTTACAAAAAAAAAAGAAAAGGAGGAGGAAAAAACAACTCTGAGGACTAACAGACCAGATTTGCTTTCACCCGTGCAGACTCTGGCCATCTATGACCGGTTTGGCCGGTTGATGTATGGACAGGAAGATGTGCCCAGGGATGTCCTGGAGTATGTTGTCTTTGAAAAGCACCTGGTGAACCCCTATGGGAGCTGGAGAATGCATGGCAAGATCATTCCCCCATGGGCACCGCCTAAGCAGCCCATCCTTCAGGTGAAGCAGCTTGTATGGTTTAAGACATGGCATCTTAAGCCACTCCTGTTGGGCTCCACCTAGTGGAGAGAGGGGGTGATGCAGCACCAGGGAAGGGGAATCCTCCTTTTAGGGGTGGGCCTGGAGGGGAGGGTGATCTCTCCTGAATAAGCCATGGACTTGGATGGTAGATAACTCAGTTTCCTGCTCTTTCAGACGGTGATGATCCCTGGCCCCCAGCTGAAACCCTGGGAAGAGTATGAAGATCCACAGGGAGAGGCCCGTAAGCCTCAGCTAGCCTGATGGCAAAAATGACTCCAGGGGTGAAGCGTGGGTGGTCAGGTGGCTGGAAGCTGTGAAGTCTGGGAGTCTGGGAGCTGTGAAATCATCCATCTTCCTCATGCTCTAGGAAGAACTGCCTTTGTTCTCTCTTGACCTGCTTGGGTCTTTTTAGCAGTCTTGTCCTCAATAACCACTGCTGGTGGCTGGGCCCTGGTGGGTGGCTGCTATGCACAGCCATAGACCCACTTCTTTTTTAAATCTTATATCTAGTTTCTGAGTCCAGATAAAAGAAGCATGTTTCAGAGAATATCTGATAGCTTTTCCCACAGCAAGAAGTGTTGGGAGCAAACTGGTAGAATTTTCTTTATAATTACAGGGCAGTGATCAGAGTTTGAAATAAAGCTCTGTGGGGTGTTGGACAAATTATGGTGGATTCTGTGCATTTCTCCTGGTTCAGGCTGGAAGTAGACCAGCCTTCAAATGGCAGAAATGGAAGTTGTCTTAATTGTGAGTGATGTGATTTCCAGGAAATCCAGACTTGGGAAAAAGAATGTTTATAAAAGATGATGTCATTTAAGAGTGTCTTTTCTCATACACTGGCTCACTGAATCAACATTTGTATTTCAGAGAAGAATGTAAATCCAAAGAAATCATTTAACCCTCAGCCTTTGGATTTTGTTCTTAATTACCAGCTGCATCCTGGTGTGATCTCAGGAAAGGTCAGGGAGGTAAGGGCCATGGAAGTATTGATATATTTGGGAAATCTATAAGTAAGTCTTGGTTCCCTGATTTCTAGCACCTTTTGGAGATGGTGACCATTCTTTCCAGCCCACATTGGAGGCAAAGGTACCAGAATATGGACCTGTGCAGAGTAAAACAGCCCAGCCCCTCCTTATTCATTCCTTAGCTCCACTTGGGAGGACTGGAGGGAGGACGATGTGGGACTTCACATGCAGGTGTGTCCTGTGTCGTCTGAGGTATACAGGGGAAATCGCTCTGTCCCAGCAGCAAGCCTGGCTTATGGTACTATTACCTTGATCAGTCCATTTAGGTTCCCTTTAAAAATCAGGACCTTAATTCTCATATTTGTTTTTCAAGCCTAGCATTTTCTTTTAAGGAATTTATCACTTGGGTTAAGGATTAAGTACTGTTCTGACCTTGTCTTGAGAATAGAGTCCAAATAAACTAGAATCAGGTTGACAATAACCTGACTCTTTAGTCTCTGTAAAGCTACCATCTCAGCAAAGCAGCAGACAGACCAGGCCTCACTCGGGAAAACTGATGTTTTAATAACAGCTGCCGGGTGCTGACCATAGAAACAAGACATGTATGCTTAGGGAAGCGGCAGCACTGGTGGGTTAATCCAAGCAGCCACTCTCATCATACTACTTAGTCTCAACCCTTTTGGCTTAAAAATGTACATCAGTTTGCAGCATCACTGCCCAAGTGAGGTTTGGTCATATCCTATTTGCCTGAGCCCTGGATTAAGGCAAAATGAGAAGGGAAGTGCTCTGAGTAGGATCCACAGCTGGGGAGTATGAAGCAACGGGAGGCAGAGAAACCAAAAAAAAAGGCACACTTTATGACCAAACGATACCTTGATTCCTCTGAATATGTAAAAAACACTGTCTCAAATAAGCTGTTTCACCTCGCTCCCCTAGATCTGTCTCAGGGGTCTCTAGATAATCCTAAATAGCAGCTAAGCACTAGCTGCCACCAGGAAGTCAGAGGATAAGTACAGTTTTCATTTCCCCTGGGAATCAAATCCAGCTGCGCGAATGGCCCAGATCTAAAGGATTGGCTCCAAAGGCCGGGCAGAGACCTTCTGCGGTGCCAGCCACGTAATGGGGCTTTGGCTGAGAATTACCAGACTGTCCCCACGGCCCTGAAGGCTGCAGTGTGGCCACCTGGGCTTTAGAGCGGGCATTGTTCTTATCTACTGTGAATGTTTAGAAATGTCAAAAATTACCATAATGAATAAGCTAGAACCAACTGCAGTGGTCAAGAAAAAGCATTCTTTATTCCACCTCCTCCCTGGTTTATTTTACAGCAGTGGGTAGAGGGACAACTTCTCTGTTCCCAGCCAGTCCAGACCCAATGGAATTGTTCTGGGTGCAGAATTTGCATTGGCTCAGAAGCTGTGGGGCCAACTAGCCAGAGCCCAGAGCAACGCACACACTTCAGCTACTGCTCTGAAAGCCTAGGGCAGGGGACCTCCATGAGAGGGAGGGCCTATATATGGGAACATGGGCATCTGGTCTCTGAAAGTGGGTTACTCCATCCCTTCTCCTCCTTTTTGGAAATGGAGCACTTAGCTACTTTTTCTGTGAAAACTTACGGCTGCCCAGAGTATATGCAGAATCATTTTGCCCCCCATTGGGTATTTGGTCCCCTTCTTTTGCCTTTTCTCTCCCTGTGAATGGGATCAGTACCTGTCAAGTTAGAAGGTGGGCCCCCTGCCCAGCTCTACCATGTTTAGTCTGCCTATTTCCACCCCCATCTCACCCCTGCCAATCCTTGGACTTCTGTGACCAATATTTCCCTCCTTCCTCAGTTCCATCTGGTAGTATCACCTAATTCCAGCTCTTTCTTATCTACGACCACTTAAACTAAGAGTAGCCTGAACTGACTTGAGAGAATAGAGCCAAGCTAAGAATGAGAGAGAGCTCCCTAAGAAAGGAGGCTTTGTATTTACACGATGCCCTTTCCCTGACCCTCAGGCCTCTAACCTGTCCTACAGCACTATTTCTGAGGGCTGTTAAAGTGTTGGCTCTAAACAGGACCACCTTTTTTCCTCAGGCTTCTCAAGATGTGGGCCTCTTGTTACTGAGCAAGTGATTTGGAGCTGTTCTTGCATCAGAACCAGAAACTCCCCAACTCCAGTTGCACTTGACAATGGAGAAGGGTCCCTTTGATGACAGCACTGAAAGGCCAGGAGGAGGAAGAGAATGAGCCAGTGGGATGAACTCTGGACTGGCAAAAGATGGGGCAGGAAGAAGGGAAGACCATCTGAAAAAGTTAGCAAGGGGAAGACTTCTTAAATCATGAGAGGGTGTCTGGAAGGGAGAATTCTCCCTTGGCCAGCATGGGAAGGATCCAGAGTGACTGCCTTGCCTTCTCTGCTCTCTGTCTCTGATGTAGCAGATGTTGACATGGACATAAGTGTGCTTGACTGGCTCTCCTTCAGTAGTCACGCAGGGCAGGTGTGAGGATCAAGAAAGCAGAAACTGGAGATCCAAAGGCAAAATTACAAGGTCTTTCAGGCATTTCAGGCACCTCTTGAGTCATTTAAGTTTTCCCCCTGATTTATCTTTGAACTTGAATTAAGTGGCTTCTAAGTTCCCATGGCAACCTTTATAACCTATAATCCTCAGTCCCTATGTTACCAATGCCTTGTGTGGTTTAGTTTCTTCTCAAAAAATGTCCTTTGTAGACTAGAGAAGAATGGGTCTCCCTTTGAGAAAATATGGGCTGGGCGCAGCTGACTTCCTTTTGTCACTAACATTGGCTTTACAAGTGAGTGTCCTGTAACAGATGGCTTGTGTTGAGTATTCTAGCTGGATGGGAGGATTTGTTAGAAGTAGAAGGTCTGGCCCTTGTTCTCTGGGACAGGAAGAACATGTGGAAGTAAAGAGACATGAGACTTCCTGTTGGGGGTCAGAGCTGCACTTTTCTTGTATAGTTTGTCTTTGGAATGAGTTGACTTCTTACTTTCTTGGAGAGGGAAAGTGGCCAAGTGTGTTTGATTCAATTTTTTGGGAACACCTAGGACTTGGAAAGGACCTTGGCTTCTAAAGCTAGCCACTCCTCCCCTGGTGGAGTTGTTACTCCCAGTCCCAAGGATAGACAGTTGGAAAGCTGAGTTCTTCGTGTTGAGCTTTAGAAGCTGCTTCTCCTTGGTTTTTAATTAAGGAGGAAGACTTCTGAGTCTCAGCTTCTTGGACACTTGGCTCTGGGACTAAGCTGGTCCTTGGCCCAAGTTCTGAAGGTACTTGGAGTTCTTTGACACCTTCCAGAGTGAAAGTACCAGTTGGTTTGCTGACTTCAGGGCAGGGGCTTTTGCTTTGTGGAAGGAGGTCACCTGGAGGTCTGTGGACTAAAAGGCATGGTGGGTTCTCAGGTGCTGCAGGGAAAAGTATTTCTGACCGAGTTGCTGTTAAAGCCAGGAGGCCAGGTTCCTCAGATGGGGCTGCAGTTCCCTCCCAAAGACAGATGTCAATGTCTGCCATGGTCCCCTTTATTTTATTTCCTTCTGGATCTGTGACTTCCCATTGACACAGCTCTGCCATCCTGCTCCCCACACTGCGTGCTCCGTAGGGGCTGACTTCGGCTTGGTCCGTGTCAGGAGCATCTGGCTGCGGGGAGAGCCTGCTCTCTGCTGTTTCCTGCTCTCTGTTGACTTTTGCTGCTGCTTTTGAAAAGTGTTCTTCAGTCCCTCCAGATCCTGCCTGTGGAAGGAACATCTCTCCTTGCCCTTGGGATTCTCTGTCCACCTCTTGTCCCAGTCGCTCTTTCTCTGCCGCTTCTTGACTTACCTCCCCAGGGCAGATTTCTGTTTTCTTATCAGATGGAGTCTCTTCTGCTTCCCATGGACACACTTCTGCTCCCCTGGCCCCGACACTGTCTGCTGCCTCAGAACTGCCTTTGCTCCCATCAGAAGCTTGTGGGGCTGGTTGTGGAGACAGATTCCCACCATCTTGACTCTCCTGGAGACACACAGCCTCCGGCTTCCCATCTGCCCTCTCTGGCTTTTTCTGAATCGCTGCAGCACTGGGCTCTGGTTTTCCTAGGGCTTTCCCCTTCTCCTCTCCAGGCTCCCCGTCTCCATCCTGTCTTGACACCCCTTCCTCAGGAATTCTTTCAGTCACCTCCCAGGAATAAGTCTCAGCTTTGGTATTGCTGTCAGGCTTGAGAGTGTCTGAGGCAGGAGCATCGCATGGGCAGACCTCAGCCAGCCTGCCCTCAACACTGGGCAGCATCTGCGGGCTGGCTTTAGGTTGGTCAGGGCACTGACTGTCTGGGTGGGAGACAGAGCCCGCCATGGCCATGGTCTCCTGTAGATAGATCCGTTGTAGCTCGCTGCTTGCTCTTTCCTCATCTTCAGCAGTGAACTCTCCTGTTTTTGAAGGTGGAGTTTTTTCTGGGGTTATGTGTTCTGGGAAGGAAACCGTCTTTAGGTCTTGTGCCACGTCCCCTTTCTCTGCTGCCTCATGGCTCACTTCCAAGGAGTGCCCCTCTGCCACTCTGCTACTCCTGCTGCTGGACAAGTCCGGGACCTCAGGGGCCTGAGCAGAGGGTGCCCTCAAGTCCTTCTCCCAAGGACAAAGAGCTTCCTGCTCTTGACTCAGTTTTGTCTCCCATTTTGATATGTCTTCTCCCAGGGAGGTGAGTCTCCCCTTTTCTGGAGTTTTCTCCCTCTGCCCTGCTGAGTCAATCCCCATGTCTTGTTCCAATCCATTCCTAGTGTCTCCTTCATTCACCTCCCAGGGACAGATTTTGGCTTTTTTACTGGTAGACACTTCCTCCGCTTCCCAGGGACACAACTCATCTGACCTGCACCCGACACGGTCCAGTCCCTGGAACCCAGCTTTTGGTCTGTCACTGCTCAGAATGTCTGAATGCTGAGAGGAGCCCCCTAGATCCAGGCTTTCCCAGGGACAGGCTGCCTCCCGCTTCTGGGCAGGGCCCTCTGGCTTCTTTGAATCAGTAACTGCTCTCTTGCCAGGTCCAGAATCTACGGAAGCCTTTCCTGTATCATTTGGAAGTTGCCTAATGGCCGCAACCCCCAAAGCCTTTTCCTCCCCTGCTCCAGCACTCACCGCCCAGGGACAGATCTCTGCCTTCCCAGCAGGCAGGGTTTCCTCTGCGTCCCATGGACAGATCTCAGCAGTTTTGCTTCCCGCACTGCCTGAGGTCTGCAAACTGGTTTTGGGTCTGTCTGTGTCTCGAGGACCAGGCTGTGAGGAGGAGCTGCCGGGGTCCACACTCTCCCAGGGGCAGACTGCTTCCTGCTTTTGGAGCCGTCCCTCAGGCTTTTCCCAAGTTGTGGGATCTTTGATTCCTGATGTTCCAGGCATCTCCTCCTTGTCCTTCTGAGATTCTCTTCCTTTTGGTGCCTGTCCCAATGTCCAGTCCTCTGTTGTTCTTTCACTCACCTCCCAGGGACAGATTTCTGCCTTGGCAGGTGTTTCATTTACCTCTGACCTGAGATCTTCCTGCGGACATACCTGCGCTGCTCTGCTTCCTCCGCTGCTGGGGAGTTGGCCTCCGGCTTTTGATGAGGAATTGTCTAGACATGGGCTGGAGTGCCCAGGGGCTGTGCTGTCCCAGGGACACACTGACTCCTGCTGTTGACTAAATGTCTGCACTGCTTTCCCAGTTTGTTCCCTCCTCTCTCCAAAGCTCCCTTTTCTGGAGGTTTTTCCCTTTTCCTGGAGAGATTCTCCACCTGTCCCCTGACTCAGCATGTCCCTCCCCATCACCTCATCACTCAACTCCCAGGGACAGAGCTCTGCTTTCCCGACGACAGCGGGAGCTGCTCCTGCCTCCCATGGACACACCTCAGCGACGCTGCTGCCCAAACTCCCCAAACTCCCGGGGGGTCCTGGGGCCTGAATAGACATTGCTGAGGGGCCACGGAAATCTGTCCTCTCCCACTGACAGAGAGACTCCAAGCCTTCACCCAGTTTCTGTTCTCTCCAGAAGGCTGCTTTCTTGGGAGTTTTCTGCTTTTCCTGGGGTAGCTTTTTTTCCCCCTCCTGGGACGGTTTCTTATTCTCTCCTCCTTCACTTGCCTCCCAGGGACAGAGCTCTGTCCTGGCAATGTCGAATGTACAAGCTCCCGGGCCAGCAGCTTCCCCCTGAGGCATCTCCATCTCTCGAGGCTCCCCAGTTCCCACTGCCTCAGACCTGCCCTTGGTTCTGTCAGAGTCCTGAGGGGCTGAGTGAGGGGACAGGCCCCCGGGATCAGCACTCTCCCAGGGACACACTGCCTCCTGCCCCCTGACCAGCCTCTCTGGCTTTTTCCGAGCAACAGCAACCACATCTTTGGACTCTGGTTTTTTTGAGGCTTTCCCTCTCTCTTTCTGGGAGTCATCTAGATCTTGCCTCAATGCCCCCTCCTCAGGAACTCCTTCACTCACCTCCCAGGGGCAGATTTCGGCCTTGTTGCTACTGTCAGGCTGACACGTTTCTGACTCGGTGACTTCCCAGGGGCATACCTGTGTCAGCCTATGGTCAGCACTGCCCAGGGGCTGGAGGCCGGCTTTGGGCAGTTCCTGCCACCCCACAGGGGCTTCTTTTGCTTGCTTAGCATTTTTGTCCCCAACTGTGCTCTGCCTGACTTGCCTCAGTGTGGCAGTTCCTGTTTTACCTGCTCTCTCGAGCCTCCCGTCCCCTAGACTCCGGGACGCCCTCCTGCCTCTGTCTTCTTGTTCCCTGCTGCCCTCCTGGTGACAGACCTGGAGTATTCTGCTGGTGTGAGCATTCTGTTGGTTCTGGAGGGACTCCTCATCATCACAGGGGGTGAGCGCGGCCTGCTTACTCACTGCCTTGGGCCGGCCTGGCCTGGGAGATCTGGGGCACACCCGCACACCCTCCCCTGAAGCTCGGCCCTTCTCCTCCTTCTCAGGACTCCCTTCCCCACTCTCCTTCTCACTGTATGTGCTCCGAGAACGGGTCAGAGCTTTGATAGCCAGTCCCAGACTGCGCATGGAACCCTGCTGAACAGGGGTCTTGAGGCTGTGAGATTTAGATAAGATCTTGGGCCTGTTGTCATCCACGTCATCAGCTTCCCCCTGGAGATGCCCTTCCTCTGTGTCCATCCCATTCTCCCTGGCCCCCCTTTTCTCTACTGCCACAGAGAGGGCCCTCCAGAGCCTGGCCCGAGCTGGGGCAGGGGAGTGGTTGCCTCCCTGGGGCCCCAAGGGGCTTTCTTGAGCCACATTTTCTTTCTTCACTGGCAGTTCTGCATTCTCCCAAGGGCAGATGAAGGTGAGTAGGCTGGGGCTTTGTGGGGGTACTGGGACAGGTGCCAGGGCAGGAGGCGGGGCCAGAGCTGGTATCAGAGCTGGAGCCAAGGTGGAGGTGGGAGACAGCATCCCTGGCTCCCCCAGGCCAGCCCCAGATAGGCCCATGATGGGTGTGGAGACCTGGTGCCGGATGGGCGGGTGGTGCAGCCTTCTAGCAGCCTCCTCATGCAGCTTTCCAGAGGCTTGGGAGCTGTCCAGGCTGCTGCTCTTGGCTGGGGAAGGTGGGGCCGACAGGGGGGCCGCCTGCGCTCTCTCCGGCCTCCTGGCCGACAGTCTCCGTGCCGGGCTCGCCAAGGCCGCCTCTGCCTTCCTTCTCTCCTCCCGCTCCCTCGCCTGCCGGTAGGTCTCCTCCAGGTAGGCCTGGCTGGCCACGAGCAGGGCCTTTTCCCTGGAGCCAGCCACGACGCTGAGCGACTTGTGCAGGGAGGCGGGCCGGGCCCGGGGGAGCCGCTCTCCCACCGTCAGGTTGTGGGCGCTGGCCGACCTGAAGCCCAGCGCCGGCGGCCCCGCTGCCGCCGACTCCTGGCTGTCTGATCGCGGGCCCTTCCTGGCCAGCTTCCTCCTCAGCAGTGAGTCAAAGACTGGGGGGTCCTGCTCCCCACGGGAATTGCGGTCCTGCTCGCAGATGCTGCGGGCCTTGCGCAGGCCCGGCGGCCCGGTGGGCTCCTCCTGGAGGCTGGTGCTGAGCAGCCGGCGGCGGGAGGAGCCGGGCAGGCTGCTGCGGCCCTGGGAGCCCGAGTCCCGGGAGTGCTGGCGGGCCAGGGCCTCGGGGAACTCTGCCAGGTACTTCATGAAGGAGCGGCCCAGGCCCTGGCGCCAGCTGGCCCGCTTCTTGGGCAGGTGGGGGTTGTTAGCGGCCATTTCCTTGGTCTTGTGGACCTCGAGCTGGGCGTAGAGTTTCTTTAGCTCATCCTGGGGCAGGGAGGAGAGGGCAGGGCAGAGCTGATGGTGAGAGCTAAGCCTCTCCATCCCCTGGCTGTGCTGTTCTTCCCCTCCACCCTTGTTTAGACCATTTTCTCAGGGGGATCTCTTTACCCACCAAGTCGTGTCCCTTCCCTGTCTTTTTTTTTAAAAATTATTTATTTTTTATTTTATTTTGGTGGGAGAGGGGAGGTAATTAGGTTTGTTTATTTTTAGTGGAGGTACTGGGGATTGAACCCAAGACCTTGTGCATGCTAAACACATGTTCTATCACTTGAGCTATACCCTCCTCCCTCCTTCCCTGCTTTTAAAACTCTCAGAATTCACCTCTCCATTCCTGTAGGCCCAGCACCAACCTAGTTGCAAGCCAGACCCACTCATCTCTGAGGATGCAGCATACACTGCCTTCTCTGTGGTCTGGTGCAAAGTCATCAGCTTGGCAGGGCAGGCACAGCTCAGGGGTTTAGAAGGACACAGGGGAAGACAGGAAACCTGGGTTTGAGGCTGCTGACCCACCATGTGCCTCGAGGCTTTTTTCTTGTTCTCTCTGAACTTCTATAAAGTAAGGAAAACTGGCTGCCTAGCATTCACTTTCTTAAGAGGATTATATGGTGGGAACAGACGGCATGAAGGCTGCCATTTTCAGGTGTAAGTGACGGAATGGGGCTTTGAAAGTCTTTTGTACTTTTGATCTTTCCCCACAGCCAGCATAGGGAGAGTACATTGGCTGCTGCTCCCCAAACTGGAGGGTCAAGATGGCATCACCATGGCAACGCGCCTCCATCTCTGGCCTGCCTGCTGGATCATGGTCTCAGTTCAGCCTAACTCCAGGGGGCAGGCGGCAGGGTAGGCACAGCTCAGGGGTTTAGGAGGACACAGGGGAAGAGACAGGCCTTTGAGACAAGGAAGGAATTAGGGGATGGAAACAAGTCAGGTGTGGAGGGGGCCCCAACAGAGGTGGAGGGATGGACAAAATGACTTCCTGGGATTGTTCCCATACCATAGGTTCTATAAAACAATGGGCTCTACCACCAGGTCTCCTTATTTCCTACCCACTGAGGTTCTCATTAGGGTTCCTGTGACTATAATGGTATCCTTAAGCAGAAAAATAAGGTAAGGATGCTCTCCTGATGTAAGACTCAGGAAAAACTTCCTTTCTCTAAGACTGCTGGGGTCAGGGAAAGGGGATCCAGGTGTGAAAATCTCTCATAGCCTGACCCTGCCAGCCCCATCTGCCCTAGGGTCTAGCTGTCCTGGTGTGCTGGGGACCAAGAGCCTTCTTAGCCCACGCCTCATGATGCCCCTCCTGTGTGGGTGGGAATGGAGGACACAGAGCGTTGGTGCTCCACTCATGGTTCTGCCTTGAACTTGCCCAGTGGCCTGGGCCTCAGGAATCTCGGTTCTGGGGCTTTGGGGGTCTTTCCACTTGTGTGGCCTCCTTTGAATAGAGTCAGGGGAAGCAGCTTAGGGCAGTGGTGGAGAAGAGAGGGAGGCAGGTCTGAGAGAGAGGAAAAGCTAGGGGAAGGGAGGGGGCCTGCAGTGGCACAGCCCAGGGGCAGGGCAGCACTGCCCCTGCACAGTTCCTAAGCCAGCATCAAGAGGAGGAGGGAGGGCAGCACCTACCCGGATGTCTCCAGGGTCCAGGCTGCGCTCGCTCCAGGCTGAGGCGATGCTGCTGTTGAGGTAGGAGCCTGAGCGCTGCAGGTCCAGCTCATCCTCATACACCTCGTCCAAGATCTCCTCTCGGGGAGGAGCCCCCGGCTTCCGGAACTGGCCAGGGTGGGCATGATTGGGAAAAAGACTCACCTTGGCTCCTTGCCCCAGGCATACATATTTACTCCATAAATCTTTACACCCCCCACCCTGATTTGGAATTCTAGGGGTCCAAGGACTTTTGTTCCCTCTCGTCCTGATTTTCTCTAGTTCAGAGACCTAGTTGGGGGGGTTCTCAACTCCCTGTCCCCACAATTCCTAGCCATGTCTTTCAGCTCCCCCTCCTATCTTTCTGTAACTGCTTCCGAATTGATTTTCAGAGTCACCAACCTTCCAATTGTGTTGTTACAAGGACCACTCCCGGCTCTAGCTCTTATTTCCCTTGCTCAAGGATGGGAGAGAGAGAAATAGTAGCTTCCTTCCCCTATACTCCTAAGTGGGCTTCTTGCTTAGGGCCCACTCACCCCAGGGTGTCATTCTCACCCTGGCCTAGGGAGGGCACTGCAGTGACAGTAGATCCACATTGCCCCTGGCAAAGGGGTGGGGTCTGCCTCACCTTGAGGATGGAGAAGACCTCACCTTAGGGATGAAGATCAGAGCCAGTGTGGTGGTGACCGTGCTGTGGGTGTGAAAGAAGAAGAGGAGGAGCGTCCAGTCTGGGTGCAGAGAGGGAACCAGCACAAACCTGAGGGTTGGTGAGGGGATCATTAGCTGTGGGTGGGAGTGGCCTCTTCCCTCTCACCTGTATCACTGGCTCTCCTCCCCAGCCCCAGCCCTAGCCCTGATTGCCTGGAGTGGAGTGAGGAGGGCACTCCTCCTTCTTCCTGCCCCCTCTAGGATGTAGGTCCCACCTCAGGGCTCATGTTAATTCCCCACCTCCAAGAAGCCCTCCCAGACTACTCCAGCTCGCCTTCTCTGGCTGCTTGTATAGCATATAACTGTTACGGACCACCCTGTTGGTTGTCTACCTTCACCACAGGGCCAGGTCCTTGTGGACTCTCATAGCAGGCCTGCTGCTGGGAGGGCTGAGGTATGAGAATGGAGCCTGTGTGGGGAGGAGGGTGGTGGGGTGTGGAGTGGGAGAGGAATTAGGAGTGGGGCGTGCTTCCTCTTCTCAGGTGTTGGGTGGGACATGGGGTACAAGAAGATCTGTGGGGTACAGGGAGAGCTGCGGGGGGCCTTCCTCACCTGGCTGAGGTGCAGCAGGTGCTGCAAGGAGGACTGTGGGATGGCAGTGCCCTCACCTGGGTGGCATTAGGGTCGGAGGAGTTGTGGGTAGGAGGGCCTGTCCTCACCTGGCTGCGTGGAAGGCAGCAGAAAGCAGCAGCTCATTGTGCAGGGCGATGCCCAGGTACCGCGGCTCGTGGAAGGCTGAGGGGACAGCCCGGGTGGCATAGCAGAGGAAGCTGCCCCAGCACAGGAGCAGCATCTCGGCTGTGGAGGAATCAGGAGGGTCAGAGCTGGGCACCACCTCAGCAGCCATGCCACTGCTTTCTCTGTAGGCTGTGCCAGGGAGGGGAGGGGGAGCCAGGGCCAGCGATCTGGGTCCAGGGCAGGGGTACCCCTGGAGGTACAGAGCCGGGGATCAGCTGAAGCAACTCACCCACAACCATGATGTAGTCCCAGCGGTCATGGTGGCAGAGGTAGAAGTGGCGGCCTGTGGGAGTGTGGCCTCGGGTCACCAGAGGTGTGTGCTGAATGCCCTGCTCCAGGACCCCCGCCGTCCACACAGCCAGGAAGCCCAGCACGAGCAGCAGGAGCAGCCCCAGACGCCGCAGCAGCCGCCCGCTGCTCAGGTGGGGGCCCCGCTGGGCCGACCGAGACAGAAACAGCTGGAGCACTCTACAAGGGTTAGAGTGTGGGTGCTGGGTGCATCCATCGCTTCCTGTCCATCACTTCCCTCCCCTCCACACATACCTGTCCTCCCATCCCTCCCCTGGTTCACTGCCTCCTCTTACCCCCAAAACAGTTACATAGAGGGGAGGCCATAGTGCTGGGGCCGGGCCTTGGGGGCACAGAGGAGTAGGGCTCACAGGGGTCTGGCTGTGAAGAACTACATTCCATAAATGAGCTGGGGTGGCCTGGAGTGAGCAGCGTCAGAGCAAGGTATGCCCCAGACCCTACCTATAAAGCTTGAGTATAACGGTGCCGTAGACAATGGCAAAACCCAGCAGCCGGACCCAGCGGAGAGCAATGCAGCGGAATACACTGGGCTTGAAGTACAGGATGAAGACCTGGTGGGGAGGGGGCAAAAACAGCTGCTCTCTACTGCACTTCCACTATGCGCCAGGCCTATGCTAAGCACATTGCCGATCCTCCTAACAGCTTTGTCATAGAGGCATCATCGCCTCCACTGTGCAAAGGAGGAGCTTAAGTATCAGAGAGGTTAGGTAACTTGTCCTAAGTCACACAGCGAGTCATAGAGCTCTTTTAAGCCTGGAGTGTTTGGCTCCAGAGCTCACTAGGCTGGCCTGTCATTTGTGGATATGAGTAGGGGGATTTTGAGGTCTCTGAATCTACCCAACAGGGCAGAGAAGAAGGATTCTGGGGTTTGGAGGGTGCCAGGTTGGGACTGTGGAGGATCCTGGGAGGTGGAATCAGCCTCTGGCCACAAACTCACAGGGAAGTAGAGCAGCAGGGATCCAAAAAGGATGGCTTCCAGCAGTACAACCCCAGATGCCCGGATCCTCTGTGAACCCAGGAAAGAGAGAGGCATGTAAACAGGGCAGCAAGAGGACAGAGCCTGCATGATGGTGCAGGAGGGTCTCAGGCCTGTTGGAGGGGTCACACTGTGGCCCTGGGCTAAAGCTTCACCCTGTAACATTAACTCTGCCCTCTCCATCCACAGCCACTCCGACCATGGGCTGGCTCTTAGCTCCATTGGCACTAGGCCTGGCTAAGTCCAAGGTTTCCCATAGCCCCTACCACCCCAGCCCCATGCTCCTCCCAATCCTGGGCCTTGCTGCAGATCTGGGCTAGAATCAGAGATTGCTAGAAACAGAAGAGATCTCATGCTTTCCTCCCAGCTTTGGGTCCAGCTGCTTCCTTGTCTAGATATTCCTTTCTCTGTCAGTTGACCTTTAAGCATGGCTCTAATGTCACATTCTCCAGTAAGTCTTACCACACCATCTCAGGCAGGATACTCGGTTTCCTCTCTGAGCTACCGCTGCAACTGACACCTCCATCCTTACCCCTATCTTGCTGCTCTGTCCTTTCATTTACATGTCTGCTTCCCCTATTCAGCTGGGAACTCCATGAGGGTCCAGATCACTTCCCCTAGTGCCTTCACAGTATTCTGAATCAAGTCCAATGCTTTCATTTTACAGGTGAGGAAACAGGTCTAAGGCGGTGAGGCCATTTGCTTAATGTCACATCATGAGTTAGATTAAGAATCAGGACCAGAACCCATTTCTCCCAAGTTTTAGTCTCATGTGGTCTCTGGTCTCCAGTTGGTGCTGGAGACCCCAGATGGGTAGGACACATGTGTAGAAGAGAACTGTGGGCCCTCCTTGCCTTGCTCTGGCGGCAGCGGTAGGAGACCAGCATGCTCAGGAAGACGGCCAGCATGCAGCAGGTCTGACAGGCCAGCACCACCGCCCGTAGTGCCAGGGCTTCCTCCACCAGGCACGGTGTGGCATCCAGGCAGCTGGTGCAGCCCTCAGCACATGGCTGGCACCGCAGCAGCCTCCCGGAGCTGCCTTGAGGGAACCCGAATTGCCCGATAGGTTGGGCAGCACTCTCCTCTGAGCCTGTAAAGAACAAGATGGGTGCAGAGAGAGTGTCATGGCTGGGGCATCCTGAGACCCCAGCCTTCTCTCCCAGTGGTCACCACAGTGATCTCCCTGTGTTCCTATGGTCTGTGACCCCTGGGGTAGGATTGAGAGGGGTAGGAATGAGGAAGTGTGTACTTTCAGAGGAGGTCAGGGTAACAGGAAGAGGTGGTGCCAGGCTAGGACACACTGCAGGGTCAGACTGACATGTTACAGGCTCATTCTCAGAAGGCACAGACACCTCCAAATTGGCCGCGCCTACCTCTCTTGCTTCTCTCAACCTTCTGCCCTTGCCCCACAAGTTTTCTCCCAGTGTCTCACAGCAACCTGCCTTTCTTCCCCAGATGCCCCCCTCTAATCAGCCCAGCCTGTAAAACACCAGCCTGGCCCTCACCATGCTTACATACCCCCAGAGCTGCTTGCCCCGTAGAAGCCGGGTCGGCAGCGGCAGAGGTAGCGGCCAAGGACAAAGCCCTGACTCTCCAGGGGGACACACTGTGGGACGACAAACACAATAGGTATTTATAGGGGGCTTTCCGTCCTGGGAAGAGACGGAGGCTCTGTCTACCTTCCTGTCCACAGCTCCTGGGTCTGCACTAGGAGCCCCACCAGAAAACTTGCCCAGTCCTTGGGGAGGTTTTCCTCTCGGGAAACTCTACTCTGCGCCTCCCCCTTGCCATATCCTCTCTTCTCAATGAGACCACCAAGCAGAGTATGGGGATGATTCACCCTTTTATTCAGACTGGCAGTGACAGGAGCCTCCCAGGTCCCATTACTCAGTGCCCAGCTTTTGCTTGAGCAAGGTGCTGGGGGAGGTGGAAGCAGGGAGAACTTTGAGCTCAACCATACCTGTGTGCCTATGTCCTGTTTCAAAGGGTCCCTATCAGTTGCCTTCTTTGGCACACAGGTGAGTTGAAAAGGCCCCCTAGAGGAGCAGCTTCCTGCATTGGGGCCATCTGACTTAGGTGCAGGACTGCTCTCCCCAGCCCTAATGCCAGGCTAACGCCAGGCTGGTGGGATGCCAAGGTCAGCTCTTTATTCCACCTCCGCCCATTGATGTTTGCCCAGCAGGGGATAGAGAAAACCTCAGAGCCAGGCAGGGAAGATGAACATGTGGATGAGGTCAGATCTACTGTGGGGAGTGGCTAGGAACAGAGAGCAGTGGGACAAAGGAAGGGAGATTCCATATCCAGTCCCTGACTTCACCTAGAAGGTGCTTCTGAAATCGCAGCCCAGCTTCTCCTTTCACTCGGACCACTGGAAAGGGCTCTGTTCCTGCCACAGTCTGCACAATCAGATGAATGCATGCCCAGAGACATGAATATGGCTGGGTTTAAAAGTGCACTGGACAATGGGAGTCCTTGTCCATCTCTGGACTTACAGCTCCAAACACATGTGCCCTGAAGAGCAACAGATGCCCAAACCCACCCCACCTCCCAGCAGGCTGCAGGGCTTGCCTTGGCTTTGGTTCAGCTCAGGAACAAGTATGCAGTCAGTGTAACTGTGGAGCGGATTAGTTCACTGGCCTCCCAGTTTCCCAGTACTGGGCTTGCAGGATTACCAGCCATTGCTTTCCATTATCTGGATTCTCCTGCATCCACAGCTTCTTTGATTTTGCCAGCATCTGGATTAGGTTCCATCACCTTCACCAGTCCCAGAACCCTTCAAGCTCCTTCTTTGGCTAGTTCTCCTACACCCTGACCAGCAATTCCATTTATTTCAACAAACACCCAACAGAGCATCTTCTATGGGTCAGAAGGAAACCAGATCTCTGTTGACATGGAAACTGTGGTTCAGGAGAAAGAAAGGGGATGATTAACAGTGGCTCAGGAGGTGGTCCTGGGAAGGAATCCTGGAGCACGCAATACCAGAAGGGAGAGCAGCCAGGGAGGCACACTGAGATTTCAAAGGCGTGAGGGTGGCTATCTCAGGTGGAGGTGGGGGTAGGCTGTAAGTGTCTTCACTTATAAAGCCTGGTATCTCATCTCTACTTATCTCATCATTAAGGACTCCCCTGAAGCCTTGAGAGGTTGGTGTGCCTTTGTCAGCTGCTCCTAAGAGCTGAGTGATGGCAGTGATGGGAAAGGGAGAGGGAGGCAAGACCCCAGGGCTCCCTCCCATCCTCCTTATCCTTACCTGGGTGCTGTTGAGGTCACACAGGTGTGTGTTAGAGTACCAGCCCGGGCTGTTGGCACACTGATTGATGTCCACGCTCTGAAGATCTACGTCCATCTGCACCTGCCCCCTAGGGCAGTGAATTGGCAGTTAGGGGAAAAGTGAAGGATGCCAAGGGGAACATGTGTCCTTGGACCCCAGATGAGGGGGCAAGGCAAGCTTTATAAACTTCAGCACGTTGGCCACAGAGTGCCAGGAGAGAGGGCACACTTGCATTCCATTTTTCAGTGCTATTAACCCTCACTGTCTCTGCACTGATAATCCTCCCCCTAGGTTTTTCCCCACCCCCACCCCCATCCTTCCAGCTTTTCAACATCTTAGCATTTCCTGGTTTCTATCAATGGGTGAAGGGAGGGGGCAAGACATACAGGAGGCTGTGGCTCTGATGATTTGTCTGAAATGGATCTTCACACTTCCCCACTGCATATATATATATATACACTCGCACACATGCAGACAAAGCTCAGCTATTAACCACCTCCTCACTCTGCCCAAACCAAGTCTGAATTGATCACAGCAAAGAAGATAGGGAATGGAGGAGTCCAGGATCAGAGGTGCTTGGCCCAAGGGCTCATAACCCCTGCTCTGGGCTGAGTGGGAGAGAGCTGGCAAGGAGCCAGGCTGCCTGCAGCCAGGAGAGGAACTCTGCTGGGGACAATGAATGGAGATACATAGCTGGGAAAACAACACTGACTGCTGAATGCACAGTACCTGTTTGTTCCCTCCTTCCAGTCAGGGCTCCCAAGCACCTCTTGGGTAGAGGGAGGAGGTCTGTTATTTGAGGAGTATCATCATCTCCTGGGTCAGGACTTGATGTGAGAATATAGCCACTGGGAGGGACCCCAGGGACCCAGCCAGCTCTTCAACAGAAAGGGCAATTGTTCAAAACTTCCCCTCAAGTGTTTCCTTCCCTTGGAGAATCTCCCTTTTTCAGTTCTAGATTGCTCGAGAGCAGCGGATTTCACTCCTGGGGTGCCCACCTGGCTCCTCTGAGAAGCCGGTGCATGGATTGTCACTGTCATCCACACCAAGCCCTCTCCTGCCTTGTACCCACTACCCAGATCTAGGGGCCAGGACCTATGCTCAGCTACATCCCCACATCTGTACAAACACACATGTGTATATAACGACATGTAAATGGATTGATTCATATATAGTGTGTACACACACCTGTATGTTTTAACATGCAGTTACAGATTCCCAGAGTCAACTGCAAATACATACAACCGAATGCAAATACAAACAGCTGAATGCAGACGCACACATCTGTGCCCCCCAGACACACATGTGCATGCCAAATGGCCTAAGCACAGCTGGCTGGACTTGGAGCCCCTGCCCCCACAAACTCACAAGAGCATCAAATCCTGCACAAACCCACTTACCTGACCTCCGGGCTGAGGTCTGGCTTAAGTCCATAGAAGGTGGCTGAGAGTGTGACAAGCCAGCCGGGACGGAGCCAGCCCTCTTGGCACTCCAGGAAGGGAGGGGACAGCCTCACGTGCTGCATGTCCCCCACGTATCCATCACCCTGTGGCCACTTGGGACTGCCAAGGCTCCCTAGGTCATTGGTCAGCACCCGCTTCTGCAGATCAGGGGTGTCCAGGACCCCGGTTGGGCTCTCCTCCTGCACCCTGTTCCCCGACAAATCCTGAAGGACAGTCTCCTCCCCAATCCGGGTGGCCTGCAGGGCCAGCTGCAGGTGGCTGGCCCCTGGTGAAGGATTAAAGGTCAGCAAAGCCCGGTAGGCCCTTGGGTCCCCCTCCGCCACGCTACGGACCAGTGCCTGGTACCACTCCACATCCTCCTCCACACTGGACTCCCGGATGTCGTTGGCTTGCAGCAGCATGTTGAGGAAATTGGCGGCCTGGGTAACGGTGCCCGCTGCCCTCCACAGGACTGGGGGGAGCCCTGGTCTGGCTCCTGCCCCATGGGCTTCATAGCGCTCACTGCAATTAGCCCCCGACAGCTGTTTGGCGTCTCCAGAGTAGAGAAAAACCAGGGCTGCCTCAGCTCCCTCCGAGGGCACCCACATGGGTTCAGATCCTGGCTCGACTTGTGAGGACAGTGCGGGCAGAGAGCGGAGGGGCCTCGGACCCCCTACAGCCCAGTCAAAAAGGAAACAGCAGCCCAGCAGCCCCCACACAGGAGGAGGCATGACCACTAATCCAGTGCCCATCCTCAGGGCAGCTCTCAGGGACCCTGGGGTCCAGGCTGCCTGGGGGATTTGGTGGCTCAGGAGATCCCAGGCAGAAGCTGGCTGCAGTCTGGGGCTACCTGCTTCCAAGCCTCCTATCCTCGCTTTCTCTCTTCCTCTCTCTCTCACACCCGCCCTCCGCTGTCTTGCCTGTTTTTCCTCCTCTCTAACGTCATAGGCACGAGGGCTCTGCTCCCTCCTCTCTCAGTGTGGCCCTCCATCACAAAACCTCTTAATCCGGGGCACACCACTCTTCCCTCCTGCTTTATCCAGTTTCCCTCCCCCACTCCCCATCCCACATCTGTTCCAAAGAGAGATAGATGGGAGGGGAGAGGAAGGGACCAGTCATTCTCTCTCTTCCTCCCTCCCTCCCTCTGCCCTTTGCTCCATTAGGAGAGATGGGCAAATCCAGGATGGGGTGCCATAGCAACCACATATGAGCCTGTGCCCCTCTCTCCACCCCTCTGCTCCACTCAGCCTCCTGGCAGCAATTTCGATGGGCATGATAAAGGGCCAAGCTGCAGCTCCTGGCAATCTGTTCTGGCTGCCTGTGCCCCCTGACACCATGCTGCTGAACTGGAATTTGAGACTGGGGACAGCTAGGGTGGGCAAGAGAGCCTGAGAACCATAATCGCTATTTGTACAGACTGTGCCAGATTATAAAGTGTTTTTCATGTGCATTATTTGAATGAATCTTCCCCACCCCTACCTATGCTGCATATTCTTATCCCCATTTCACAGATGCAGACAATGAGGCTCAGAGACTCACCCAAGATCACACAGCTGCTGACTTTGAGACTCAAACCCAGAACTCTGACTCCCCTGCACTGCCCTGTCAAACCCCTACAATCACCCTGTTATTCAACCTTAGAGACCTTAAAAAAGCCTCATTACAGAGGAGTAAATGGAGGCCCAGAGAGGTGAAGAGACTTCCCTAGGACCACACTGTTGCTCGTGACAAAGCAGGAGCCTCCGCCAGGTCTCCACCTCCCCACCCAGGGGAGACTTCCTTCTCCTGCACCACAGAGCCTGGAGGGGTTAGGAATGGTGGGGGCAGGGCAGGGGTGCAGGGAAGAGAGTAAACAGTTTTGCCTCTGCTTCTTCCACCTTCACTTTGACTAACCTCTCATCTCTTCCCGGTCTTCCTACCCCTCACATCTTTCCCTCTGTTGGACACAGTAACAGGGGAGCCCAGGGTTAGCCCTGAGTGAGGCAGCCTCCTTGGATCCAGAAGTGGGTGGATTCTTGAAGTCAGCCACACAACAAAGCCCCTGTTTTCCTCTCCCTCCTTCTTACACGACTTTCGCATCACTGATGTGCTCCCCACACACCCAGCGATTTAGCCCCACATGAGCATGCTACTTGTTGGTTTCTTCCCTTCTCACTTAAAGCTGAATGTCAGCTAAGTGACTTCCTGAAGGCCACAAAGCCAGTGCGTGGTCCCCGGGGACAGACCTGTGTCCCATGACCATAGTTCCCTCCCTTGCCCTCTGATTCTGTGTGCCAACAGAGAGAGGGAGGGAGGGGGCAAGTGCCCCACTCCACACTCTTGGTATTACTGATTACCATTAGTTGAGGGCCAACAGAACACCTTGGGTGAAGACATAATAGTAAGTTGTTTATCCCCCAAGAAGCCTTTCATAATGATCACTAATGCTTGCCTAGTGCTGTAGCATTTGCATGTAAATTTTTATTTAATCCCGACAATAGACCCATCAATGGCGGATTATTATTGACCTATTTTTACAAATGAAACACAGGTTCAAAATTGTTTAATTATTGACTCTTGGTAATATGAGTTGTTCTTTGCAAACTTTTAAAACTAGGGGCCTACTGCTGCAGGGACCACTTATATACCCCTCAGGAAAGAGGTACGTATAGACACAAAACCCACCCAACACACACACACAAATCCAGCTCACGCAAAGATAGACTTCATTTACTTGGAGCTTAATTTTCAATATTTTTTCCAGGAATTAGGCTACAGGCCTGGACACTTAAGGAAATGGAGAAAGGCAGCATTCCTCGCCCTGCCTTAGAAAGAGCCTGTGTGCGTTCCCCTGTGCCTCTGTCCTCTGGGCAGGTGGAGATATCCCATGTGGTGGACATGGTCAGCCTCCCTCTGGGGCCAAGAAAATGGCTGAACAGCAGAGGGCGCTGTGGAGCTACAGGCCTTGCATTCATGGAGGGTAATCTGTTCTGGAGCCAGTGGTTTTCCAGAGACAGCCAGAGATCTTGGGTGATCTTCTTAGGCCTCTGGTGTCCTGTGATCCTACAGCAGATTCTTTTCTTTTCTCCAAAAACCTAAGTGACACCAAAGAGGTAGCTGAGGGAGAGAGGGTAGAAAACATAATCTTCAGAGTCAGAGTTGGTTTTGAATTCCACTGCACCTTTTTGAACAGTTAGGTAAATAAATCTGAGCATCAGTTTCTTCATAGGCAAGGAAGGTTATTAATTCTGTTGTGCAGAATTAGAGGTGAATTTGTATCAGGAGCCTCTTACAAGTATGGAACAACTGTTCCACACTTGTGTATTAAGGGCTTCCTCTCTGCCAGGCAGTCCTTGGCACTGTGGTCCATGATGGACAAAAAGCAAATGTGGCCCCTGCCCTCATGGGGCTAAAAGCTTAGCAGGGAAGACAGACTAATCGGATAACCCTATAGATAGAATGACAAATCACACTCGTGCAATTCAGTGCAACAAAGGAGTGGGCTTGTGGCTGGGTGAGGAGGAAGTACCTGGGCAGGGAGATGTCCTCGAGGTAGAGGAGTGAGTTTAATTTGAAGGATGCGTAAGAGTTTATGAAGCAAAAAAAAAGGTAGGGACAAAGCCTTTTAAGAAAAGGGAATCGCTTATGTAATGGCCATCTGTGCGTGAACCTGACACAGGGCTAGTGGAACTGCAGGGCAGAGAGAACAAAGTGGAGTTTGGTGGGATATGAGGCCAGAGAGGTAGGGGTCAGATCACATAGGAACCCAAAGGCCTCCTTAAGGAGTTTTGTCTTTGGCCTAAGAACAATTATAACCATGAAGGGTTATAATCACAGGCTATCGTCGAATACGCACTTTAAAAAGGTCTTTCCAGCTGTAGACGTCATAGCAGACCCTTGACCATCTTCCCCTCACTGCACCCTCAGGTACTAAAGTTGCTAAATTCTGCTGGCTGATCCTTTCCCGTTATCCTTTGCATCCCTCAGCATCTCTTCATCAGATGATTGCAATGGTTTCCTAACAGGTCTCCCTGCCTCCAATCATACCTCCTCTACACAAGGTTGATCTTATTTGGTCTTCACCACATGCCTGCAAGAAAGCAAAGCAAAATCCTTATCCCTATTTTGCAGATGAGAAAACTGAGGTCTAATGGTTCTGTGGAGCTGGCTCATACAGGCTTATGGAAGTTAATTGTTAAAATTTCAGGAATTTTGCAAACCAGTTGTTAAACACAACCAACTATTAAAAATTAAATTATACAAATTTGTAATTAAATTGTATTAAAAACAAAGGTAATAAATTCTCAAAACTCATCACTTCCTAATAATTTTACTATTATTATTCACCTATGCTTGTGAGGTTACTTGTGTTATTGTATCTGCATGATGAAACTACTACATAATAGTACACTCTGTGTTCAGTAAAGTCAAGATGGCAGACTGAAATCAGCCTCGGTGGGAGTATTTACACTGCAGAAATTGGCAAATGCTACAAATTGGGGCTTGATTTTTTGCTCTGTTGATTACCTAGATTTAAGAAAGTGATGGAGAAAACGTTAATAATTCAGATTTAAAATTAATGTGTTATGTCTATAGCCATTACATTGTGTATAGCACAAATGTTGAGGAAATATTCTCTCAGTATTTGGAAACTGTTATCCGATTTAGCAAAGAAGTTGCTCCCATAACTGACTGTTAAGGTGTCTTTGTGTTTTCACTTTCTTCTTACATTGACACAGAAGAACATCAACCAATATTCACCTTGCAATTACATTTCCCAGTTAACTTAAACTACAGGTTGGCTACCCATACAGGAGTTTGGCAAAAATCAGTGAAAGCATTCTGTGAAAATCAATTGGTTATAAGGGATTTGCAATTTTACATTATTATTTGTAAATTCTGTGCTACACATCCTTTACATCAGTACAATTTATGATAAACTTATGTATATATATATATATACGTGTATATATATATGTGCGTACAGTCCCCTTTCCACCCAACAGTCGTCTGTTTAACATTTAACAGCACATCACTGGGTCTAGAACATGTTATCCACGTATCATTCCATAAATATTCCCTGGATGCCAAGATAGGGTACAGTTAGTCAATGAAGAAACGACTCGGTCAAGATCACACATCACAAGCAGCATAGGAGGGACCAGAGCCAGAGGTACTGTACTCCCAAGGCCAGCAGCTGTCTCCCAGGACTAGACCAGGCTTTCCAGGGCCACTCCCTCTCACCGTGGCAGAGGGGGAAGGGGGTTGTCTTCGACCTGAGCGCCCGGGAAGTGAAAAACCAAGGTCCCAGCAGGGTACCAAGCACCAGGCGAGAAGCAGCTCACCGCCAATAGCGTACCAGGCTGCGCGCAACGTCACGCTTTGTAGAGGCCGGCGCGAGCACGCCCCGGGAAGGGGGCGT